GTGGCTTGAAATAACTTGGAAGTATTCTTGTGGTTCGCCTATGCTTGTAGATACGCGTTCTGCACTCACAGGTGTCACGAAACAAGCGAAGAGAAGGCCACGCGCGGTGCTTCTTGGTGTTCGTTTTCTGGCGAATATTTTTCCTTTGCTTGACAGGATTCGTCCTCAGACATCCATCAACTCGCTAACTCCCAGTTACCTGTTAGGAGCTCCAGTTCGGATCAACCATCCCAAACATACGAAGGACCCATCACCTGTAGTGTTTTTTTTTTTTTTCCCTGACACACTCCGCTGACAGGTGGTATTCCTACCATGGTTACCAGTCAGTTCTCTCCTGGGTGCTCCTACCTCCCACCCTATCCCCCCGAGGGGGCTCTGGGGCTTTCACCTTTTTCTTCTGCCTTGGTGCTTGGGTGTGGTTTTCCCACTAACAGCACTGACGGCCCTGCGTTCGTCCACCGACTGGTGCTGTCTCGCTTTGCGACGTCTCGCGATTCAGTCAGCAATTGGTGAACTATCGGGTAGCTAGTGCCACGAATCATTGCAGTTTCAACGTTTCAATTGGTCGGCCTTTACCGTGTTACTATCTCCGATTTGGCACTCGTTGCTGCTCGTAGGACCTGCTGTATCTTGCATCCCTTCCGTCCCAATCCCCGTATGGGGCTCTGGGGTTTCACCTTTCCTCCACTGTTCCCGTAGTCCTTTTTATGCCAGCAGACACGGGGACAGGTTGTCGTCCGAGTAGCCTTCTGGACTAACGGAAAGCGTGGCACCCAAATTCGCTAACGGGACGATTGGGTAGTTCGAGCCATGTGCTGCCGTTTAATTTTCTGGAGTCCGTTTCGTTTTTTGGACTAACCGTCAAGAGTGTCGGATTAGACCTTCATTCGTTGCTGCGTGTAGGTTCCAGGCTTTCTTGCATCGTTTCTCTCCCTTTCCCATCCCCTTCTGGGGCTCTGGGGTTTGAGTTTCTCCTTTCTTCCTCCCTCCGGTCCGTTGGGTCCCTGCCAGCAGCACACCAGGGTGTCAACGACCAGTTCGTTCCGCACAATCGTCCGCTTCCGCTCGAGTTCGGACTGCGCTCTGCGGTCGCCGAACGGTGTGGTCGATTGTAGTGTAGGCATGTTTCATCTGCATATCGCCAAGCAGTCAGTGATGGAACGATTGAGCCTCTGAACCTGAAGTTTTAAGAGAGCCGTGTTTCTTCCGTTCCCTTCTGCGTCTAGGTTGTAAACCTCGGTCCCGCTTTCCTCTTGTTACACGTGCGTTCTTCCTGGTTGGCGTTCCCCTTCCCTTCCTCCCCCCCTTCCCCCTGGGGCTCCGGCCCCGTAACCCGTGTCTCTCTCCCTCCTTCGTGTAGCCACACTGCGTTCATCCCCACAGGCCGCGCTCTGCCACCTGTAGTCGGACGTCTAACCTTCTAGGTGTTTTGGGTCTTTCGGTAGCACGTGGCAACCGTAGATTCGCCAAGCAATCGGTGATTGAGCCTTACCACTGACGTTTACAAGGCATTTTCTCTCCTTACCCTGCTGCGTCGGTGTAGCTCCACCCGTCTCAGCTGTACCCACGTTTCGCTCTCGTAGCGTGTGCGTTCTTCCTGGTTGGTGTATCCCTGTCCCTCCTCCCCAGGGGCCTCTTGGCCCCGTAACCTCTCTTTCCTTCTTCCCTCGTGCAGCCACGCTGTGTTAACCCCCACAGGCTGTGCTCTGGCACCTGTGGTCGATCTAAACGTCTAGATGTTTCGGGTCTCTGGTTTCAAGCACATGGCAGCCGCAGATTCGCCTAGCAATCGGTGACTTGCTTGAGTGATCGAGCGTCTTTACTTAAGATTTCAAGCCTTTCCTCTCCTTATCCTGCTGTGCCACTGTAGCTCCTTCCATTTCAGCTGTAGCTTCGGTCGCATTCCGTTACATGCGCGCTTTTTCTGGTTGGCGTTCTCCTGTCTCTGTCCCCTCCCTGGGCCCCCCTGGCCCTGTAACCTGTGTCTTCTTCCTCCCTCGTGTAGCCACACTGCGTTCATCCCCACAGGCCGCGCTCTGCCACCTGTGGTCGATCGTCTAACCTTATAGGTGTTACGGGTCTTACGGTTTCTAGCACAGCCGCGGATGCGTCAAGCAATCGGTGACAGAACGATCATTCTACCTGAAATAGCCCAAGCTTTATTATTTTCTCCATACCCCGCTGCGTCAGTGTAGCTCCTTCCCTTTCAGCTGTAGTGTCGGTCCCATTCCGTTGCACGTGCGCTTTTTTTGGTTGGCGTTCCCCTGTTCCTCCCCCCCTGGGGCCCTCTGGCCCCGTAACCTGTGTCTCCTTCCTTCCTCGTGTAGCCACACTGCGTGCGTCCCAACAGCCTGCTCTGGCACCTGAGGTCGAACGCCTAGCACAGCCGCATATGCGCCAACCAACCGGTGACTGGACAATTTTTAAGTTTCACAAAGTTTAAGCCGTTTTTTCTCCTTACCCCGCTACGTGTAGCTCCTCCCGTTTCAGCTGTAGTTTCGGTTCCATCCGTTACACGCACTATTTCTGGTTGGCGTTCCCCTGTCCTTCCCTCCCTCCCGGGGCCCCCTGGCTCCGTAACCCGTGTCTCCTTCCTTCCTCGTCTAGCCACGCTGCGTCATTCCCACAGGTTGCGACCCCCACCTATCGTCGATCGTCTAACTGTGGAGGTGTTTTGGGTCTTTCGGGTTCAAGCACAGCCGCGGATGCGTCAAGCTCTCGGTGACTGAATGATATAGTCTCGCTGAACTGAATTTCAAACGCATTTCTCTCCTAACCCTGCTGCGTCCAGTATAGCTCCATCCGTTACAGCTCTAGTCAGTCGCATTCTGTTACGCGTGCGCTTTTCCTGGTTGGCGTTCCCCCTCCCGTCCCTCCCCCCCTGGTCCCGTAACCTTGTCTCCTTCCTTCCTCCCTCTAGCCACACTGCGTTCGTCCCCACAGGCCGCCTACTGCCGCCTGTCCTAGATCCTCTGACCCTTTCGGTGTTTCGCGTCTTTCGGTTCTAACCACGCGTCAGCTGCAGATGCGCCAGATTATAACGATAGGTGATTGAACCATATTCGCCACACTCGCTCCGCACCTGCGACTATCAGACTTTTCCTATTTACACCCTGCTGCGTCCAGTCTAGCTCATTCCGTTCAAGCTGTGACCTCGACCCTTGTCCGCTCCCTGCGTTACACGAGTGCTGGTTGGCGTTTCCCCTCCCCTCCCTTCCCCCTGGGCCCCCCTGGCCACGTAACCTGTGTCTCCTTCCTCCCTCGTCTAGCTACACTGCGTCATTCCCACAGGGTGCGTCTGCCACTTCTCGTCTAACAGTCAAAGGTGGTTCGGGTCTTACGATTCTCACCACGTGTCACCTGCAGTTTCACCAGGCTACTAATCGGTGATCGGACGTTATTTATCCCCTATGCTCCGGCGCTATTGAGCTTTTCCTATTCACCCCCTGCTGGCTCCAGTCTACATCACTCCATTCAAGCTATAGCCTCTACCCTAGTCCGCTCCTTGCATAACACGAGTTCTGGTAGTGCTGGTTGGCGTTTTCCCTTTCCTCCTTCCCCCTGGGCCCCCTGGCCCAGTAATCTTCTGTCTCCTCCCTCCTGTAGCCATGCCTAGTTCCCACAGGGTGTGTTCTAGGACCTCTCGTCGGTCGTCCAATCGCGTCAGCAGATGTTACGGGTGTTTCGGTTCCAGCCGGTCAGGTGTTTCGTTCCTCTTGAAATCTCATATGCCCTTGAGTACACCTGTTGACCCGCTATTGTCTCAGACGTCGGTGCTCTTGGCCTGTCAGAGTCCTCCTAGTCTCGTTGGCGTTCCCTTCTCCTTCCCCCACCCCCCCCCCCCCCCCTTCCCCCGGGCCCGCTGGCCCCATAACCTGTGTCTGTTTCCCTTGCTCTCCAAGCCACACCGCTCTCGTCCCCACAGGCCGCGTTCCTCCACCTCTCCCTTGGCCGTCCCTTCTCGTTCACCCGCGTTGCTGCTGCTCCTCATCAGGTTCCATTCACGTTGTGACTGCATTCACTGTTCTGATCCATCGCTGCTGCCTCCTCTCACCAATCTGCAGTGCTCCAGACGTTGGTGCTCTTGGCCTGTCTTCCTTGCCTTGGTCCTTTTCCCCTGGTTGGCCCTTTCCTCCGCTCCCCCTCTTCTTCCCCTCCCTTTCCCCTCCCTCCCCGGGCCCCCCTGGCCCCATAACCTGTGTTCTCTCCGCGTCTCTTCCCCCGCCAGTCACACCCCCCCGTCCAGGCTGTGATATGCGCTGCTCTTCTCGCCCTCGCCCCCCCCTGCGCCATCGCTACTTGCGCTGCCTTCTGTCTCTCCTCGCGCTGCTGCTCGTGCTGAGTTCCCGCGTCTCTCTGCCGCTCCCTGCACGCGTCCGCTTCTGCACTGCTGTTCGCCAATCGTCTGCACGTGTCTGCCTCCGTATACCTCCACGCCTCCACCTGCTACTTTTCTACTGCCGTCTATGCGTCTACCTCCGTATGCCCAAGCCCGCGCCGTCGCGTTCATTCATCCTGCTGCCTCCTGTTGGCGTCCTCTGCTTCTGCTGCTTTCGCGCTGCCATCGGTCGTCATCTCCTGGACTCTTCGTTGTGTGTAGATTCCGCCCATCTTGAGCTGGTGTGTCTGAAGTTCTAGTCCGTTGCTTACAAATCAGATTTTGGTGGTTGTGATGTTCTAGTCCGTCTTTCTCGTATCTCCCCTCTTGAACTGTAGATGTAAATGGGATAGGGAGGTGATTAGGCAGGTAGGTGGTTGTTGCTGGGTTTTGCTGTGTTGCTGTTTTGCTCTGTGCGTCCAGGGCAGGGAGAGAGCGTGCTGGGGAGAGGGTAGTCTGCGCTGCTGAGACAAGTCTTCTGTTGTCGGCGCTTCTGTCGGGACAACAGCTCCAGCTGAAACGAACGCATGCGAGTCGACCGAGGGTGGCAAATCGGGAGTCTCGGGCGAGCGACTGTTGGGGCGCAAGCGCGGGGTGCTGAACGGAACACAACACACAGAGAATGGACGCCATGTGTTTGCAGGTCAAACCGGCGGCTGAGTGGTGGGTGTGTCTGCTGTCTGCACGGCTGCGCGAAGAATTGCCAGCTGCGAAGGGGAGACGCACGGGTGCAGGTTAAACCGGTGGCTCACGGGAGGCGTTTGTGCTTGCAGGTCAAACCGGCGGCTGAGTGGTGGGTGTGTCTGCTGTCTGCACGGCTGCGCGAAGAATTGCCAGCTGCGAAGGGGAGACGCACGGGTGCAGGTTAAACCGGTGGCTCACGGGAGGCGTTTGTGCTTGCAGGTCAAACCGGCGGCTGAGTGGTGGGTGTGTCTGCTGTCTGCACGGCTGCGCGAAGAATTGCCAGCTGCGAAGGGGAGACGCACGGGTGCAGGTTAAACCGGTGGCTCTGTGGCGGTGTGCCAGAGCAGCGCGCATGGTTGCACGGAGGAAACAAACGGGTTCCAGACGAAAACGAGCGCGAGGGAGAAAGAACGGGTGTTGGGCGAACTCGATTGCGAGCGGTATGGAGTGGCGCGTGTCTGCTGGCTGCACGTCTGCTGGGACAACCACAGGCTGCAGGAGAAGACAAACCAACCCCCTTTTTGTTGCAGGATCTTGAAAAGACGTACGGCACAAGGAAGAACGAGGGTAGGCGAGGAGTGGCCGTTGCGAGTGGTGCGTGTCTGCTGGGACAACCACAGGCGGCGACGGGAGACGCTCGCCTTCCCCCATTTTGTTTGCAGGTTGAGAAGCGAACGCGCTGCATGTGAGGCTGCGTGTCTGCTGTCTGCACGTCCGCTGAACAACCGCTGATGCTGATGGGATGACACGAGGGTTCGGGCTCGGGGGTGAATGCGTGTGGCGCGTGGACGGCTGTAGCGAGTGGCGCGCGTCTGCTGTCTGCACGTCTGCTGGGACACTGCAGGCGCTGATGGGAAGACTCGTGCGGGGTGGAAACAAGGGGAAGAACGAGAAACCAGCGAGCAGGACAGCCAGAAGATGCGGGCGGGTGCAGGGGACGTGTGCGTGTGCGTGTGTGTCTGCTGTCTGCACGTCTGCTGGGACAACCACAGGCTGCTACGGAAGACACCCACCAATCCCCCCCCTTCTGCAGGTTTTAAGTGAAGCGAGTGAGCGGCGAGGAAAGGCGCGAGTCTGCTGGCTGCATGTTTTCCTTTACGACAACAGGCTGCAACGAGAGACAACCTGCGTCCAAACACACAGATGGGAAAGACACAGGCGTGAGAGGCGAACGAGTGGAGCAAGGAGCGGTTTGAGTGGCGCGCGTCTGCCGTCTGCACGTCTGCTGGGAGAACTGCGGGCGCTGATCGGAAGACGCGTGCGGAGTTGAAGGGAGGTGCAGAGCTAAGGACGTGAACGAGCGGGACAACTGAAGGGGGCGAGCGCAGGGTCGCGCGCGTGTGTGTCTGCTGTCTGCACGTCTGCTGGGACAACCACAGGACTGCTTCAAGAGACACCCACCAATTTCCCCGTTTGCAGGTTAAGGACATTCGGAGGCGCTTTTGAAGAGATAATGGCACGAGTGACAAGCGAGTGAGGCGGGAACGAATGACGCGTGTCTGCACGTCTGCTGGGACCAGCACAGGCTGCATCAGAGACACAAAGGATGAAAAACACACAGACGGCTTCGAAAAGATACACGGGCACAAGGAACGAACGAGTGGCGCACGTCTGCCGTCTGCACGTCTGCTGGGACAACCGCGGGCGCTGATGGGAAGACGCACGGAGGTTCAGAGCGAGGGGCGCGAGCGAGCGGAACGTGAGCAGGAAGGCTGGTGGGGGCTGTGCGTGTGTGTCTGCTCTCTACACACCTGCTGGAACAACCGCAGGCGGCAGCGGGAGACACCCACCGAACCCCTTTCCCTTGCAGGCCGTGAGAAGGAAGTACGAAGGAAGTGTGAAGTGCAGTTGGTGGAGGTAATGCAGGGTGGAGGGCGAGCGACGTGAGAGAGGGACGCGCGCGTGTGTCTGCCTGCCGTCTGCACGGCTGCAATGGGAAGACCCAGAGGATGCACGCGCAGGCAGGGGTGTACGGACAATGAGACGAGCGGGTGCGTGGATGGAGAGTTGGTCGAATGCGAACTCGAGCGCGTGGGAACACGCGTGAGGATGCACGCGCGGGGGCGTGCGGGTGGCGAGCGACTTCTGGAATTTCGGACGGACGTGGCGAGTGGCTGCTGTCTGCACGTCTGCAACCGCGGGCTGCAACGGGAGACACCCACCACCCAATCCCCTTCCCTTGCAGGTCGTGAGAAGGAAGTAAGAAGGAAGTATGGACGAAAGTTGACGGTTGCTGGAGGGCGAACGGCGTGAGAGGGACGTGCGTGTCTGGTGTCGGGACGGCTGTGTGTCTGCTGTCTGCATTTGTGCACCAAGCGTGCTGCCGCAATGGAAGATATGTGAGGACGCACGCGTGCGAGCGACAAGCAGTTGTGCAAACTGGAAACACGGGCGCGTGCGAACGGGTTTGGGATTGAGTGGCGAGTGGCTGCTGTCTGCACGTCTGCTGGGACAACCGCAGGCTGCAGTGGCGACTGGTGGGTGGCGGCTGGTGCAGGGCGAACGCGGACGGGATGGTCTGGTGTTGTCTGCATGTGCAGGACGCACGTATTGGCGTCTGGTTTGTTGCACTACTGCGGGCTCCAGTGGCGGGCGCGCGGGTGGGGTGAGGTTCTACGCTCGATGGGCGCATGGCCACCGGTGGGATGGTCTGGTGTGGGGCTAACGTGGTTGACATGTCTGCTGTCTGCACTTCGGCCGTCTGTTTGCTCGTATTGGCGTCTGGTCTGCTGCACTACCGCGGGCTCCAGTGGCGAGCGCGCGGGCGAGCGCGCAGGTGGAATGAGGTCGCTCTGGTGGGCGCGTGGCGACTGGTGGGGGTTTGCGGTCGGCTGGTGCGGGGGAACGCGGACGGAATGGTCTGCTATTGGCACGTCTGGTGCAGTACTAAGTCTCAGGCCTTCTGCAGGGAGACATGCGCCAGCCCCGTTGCACTTGCAGGTTCTTGTTTCCAGCGTCTGCTTGTCAACTTGTTGGCTTGTTTGCGTGTCTGCTGGTCTACTGGGGCAACTTCTGTTGGACAGCCACTACGGTACGGACGCGGGTGGGTGCACTGTGGGGTGTGGTGGACGTGTGTTCGGTGGCTGGGCGTTTGGCGGGCTTGGACGGGAGTGCACGAGCGGGGGAGAGTGTGTGCTGCAACTGCACGCGTCTGCTGAGACAGACAAAGACGTGGAGGGGGCAACACTCGTGGTGGGAATGGGCGGATGGGCGCAAGCGCGGATGGGCGCACGGCGCGGGTGGGCGCACGGCGCGGGTGGGCGCATGGCGCGGATGGGCTCACGGCGGATGGGCGCGCGGTGGACAGGCGCAAGGCGGGTGCATTGGAGGATGGGCATGGAGCGCGTGTGTCAGATGTGTCTGCCCTGCTGGGACAACCTCAGGCGGCAGCTGCTCGATGTGTTGTTTGCACGTTGAAGTGTTGAGCTCGCGGGACATGTGGGAGGAGACAGGGGATTTGGGGCGAGTGCGGATGGGCGCACAGCGGACGGGTGCGCAATGGACGGGCAAAGCTGGTGTATTTGGCGGAGTGGCGTGTGGCGAGTGTGTCACCTGCGTGTGTGTGCACGTCTGCTGGAATAACCACAGGCTGCACTGGTTTGACACTCACCAACAATTCTTGGACGCGTGGGAGGGGGACACTGGTTGCAGAGGCGATTTGCCTTCGCAGGGATGAGGGTAACACATGCACGGATTTGCGCACGGCAGATGAGTGGGTGGCGGACGGGCGGATGGCGGACGGGCGGGTGGCGGACGGGCGGGTGGCGGACGGGCGGGTGGCGGACGGGCGGGTGGCGGACGGGCGGGGTGGCGGACGGGCGGGTTGGCGGACGGGCGGGGTGGCGGACGGGCGGGGTGGCGGACGGGCGGGGTGGCGGACGGGCGGGGTGGCGGACGGGTGGGGTGGCGGACATGTGGCTTCTGCGCCTGCACGTGCAACCGCGGGCTGCTGGGCTGTTAGGGACCATTGGGCGGTGGGGAGTGGCTGCAGATGGGACGGGAGGGAGAGTGGTGACCGCTGGCAGAACGGGTGAAGGCTCGAGTTCATGCACGAGTTGGTTGTGGTGGTCTGCACGTCTGCTGGTATGCAAATTCCGTATGCTGCAGCAAACGTTGGGACAGAGGGTCGCATACGGGCGAGAGACGGTGCAGGCCGAGTGGGACGAGTGGGTACGCGGCAATGCGAGCGATTGGGATGGAGAAGGAGTTTTGCCAGCAGGAGGTTTGGCGGGTCAATGCGTACGCGCGTGTAGAGTGTGGTTGACAGTCGCGAACAGACGGGCGATCTTTATTTTTTTCAAAGACTGAGGCGTAGTGTTGGGAGCGTGTGCACGGAAGTGGAGAGGTCCAGTTGGGGATGCGCGATGGAGGGAGGCAAGAGGCAGCGGGTGTTGTGACAGGTAGCTGTGATGGTAACAGGTGGCTGTGATGGTAACAGGTGGATATGCTGATAGTGGGGCAGTAGCTGTAGCTGTTGTGTTGGGCATTAGCTGTTGTGTTTGGAGTGAAGTAGTGATAGCTGGTTCAGCTTGGGTAGCGGTTGAAGTGAAAGAGGTAGTGCTGGTGGTTTTGGTTAGAGTGGTTGGTAGATGGGGGAAATGACTGGTCTCATGGGTCGACAGGTCTTGGGGAAAGGTGTTGGGGAAAGCTCGACAGATGACGTGAGGAGTGGAGGTAGAAATGAGAGGTTGGTGGGGGAAAAAGCTGAGATGTCTAGTTTGGACAGGTGAGGATGAGAGCTAAGGAAGAGCGATTTGGTTGAGTTTGCGGCCAGCTGATATGGGAGGTTTCACAACAGGAGTGCCACGTCGTGCTGTGTCTACCCCTGCAGTGCAATTGGGGGCTGTTTCTTGGTGTACATACAGGTGCTGTTGTTCCTGGTTCTTGTGGTTTCTGCTCGTGGGCGCATGGTTGGGTTGATGAAGAGGTTGATGCGGAAGGTTGCTGTGCTGACGTCAGAGGTAGATGGCGGGTGGTGGTTGGCGGGGTGGTGGTGGCAGTTGCTGCGTTTCGTCTCTCCCTGGTGGTGTATCTGGTCGTGTTGGGGTCTGCTGAAGAGGGAAGCTGTGATTGAAGTCAGACTAATTGATGCTGAAGCAGTGAGGCTGCTGTGTGTGTCTCTGCTCGTGTGTCTGTTCGGTGTCCTGCTGCATTGCTGCTGTTCCTGCTGCTGCGGGGCGGTGGCTGGTGCTGGTGGCTGGCTCCTTTTCCCACACCCTCTTCAAACTACAGGAGCTGATTCAAGACAGAAGCAGACGAAGCCAGGCAAGCTGATTGAGTGATGCTGTGTAGCTGCTGTTCGTCTCTGCTTGTGTGTTGCTGCCTTGGTGTTATTCCTTCTTCTGCTGGGTTGTAGTGGTTGGTGGCTGGTGCTGGTGGCTGGTGGCTCGTTGTCCTGTATCCTCTATTTTACACCGCAGGAGCTGATGCAACATTTAGATGAATGCTTGGTGGTGGATTTATGGAGGACAAATCCAGGCGAGCTGATGGGTGACTCTGTATAGCTGCTGCGCGTTTTGAGGTGTTGCTCCTTCTGCTGGGTTGCAGTGCCTGCTGCTGGTGGTTCGTGGCTTGTGGCTCGTGGTTCCGTATCCTGCGTTTTACCACAGGGGCTGATGCAACATTGGACTAATAATGCTTGGCAACTGGCGGCTGATCCATTCAAGGCCAAACCAGGCAAGCTGATGAGTAAAGCTGTGTAGCTTCTGCGCGTTTTCAGTTGGTGCTCCTGCTTCTGCTGGGTTGTCGGTGGCTGGTGCTGGTGCTCGTGGCTGGTGGCTCGTGGCTGGTGGCTCGTGGCTGGTGGCTCGTGGCTGGTGGCTTGTGGTCCCGTATCCTTCTCTTTAACACCTCAGGAGCTAATGCAACATCTGGACTAATAGTTGGCGGTTGATTCTCTCAAGACAAAACCAGGCAAGCTGATGAGTCTGCTCTGATGGCTGTCTGTAGCTGCTCTGCTTTGCCACCTGCTGTCCCGTCTGCTTCTGCAACGGCTTTGACCCCTGTGTCACCCTAAACCTTTGTGTTTTCCAAAACCTTTCACCGTCTTTGGACCCTGTGTTATCCAAAACCTTTTAACGTTTTTGGCCCTTTCCTGAACCCTTTAATGTCTTTGGCCCCTGTACCCTAAGCCCTTCAATGGCCGTGGCCCCTTACCTAAAACCTATCCACGTCTTTGGCCCTCCCGTTACCCTAACCATTGCACGTTATTGGCTCCTGCTTTCTTTCATCTGCTGGACCTTTTGACTGCTGATTCTGGTCTTCGCATCTGCAAATCTTCCATTCTGGTTTGGTCAATCCAAATCCACATCTGCACACCTCAACTGCAATGCTTCTCCTGCTAACCTTTTCAATCAATCAGCATCACCTCACCACTTCATCTCATCAAATCATGCTCTTCTGACAAACCGTATCATCTCATCGTCATACTCTCTCATCCAAATGATTCCAGCCAATGACCCTCTCATTCTCAGCCAAAAGAATCCAAACAATAATCGCAAGTCCAGCCAAGCCAGTAATCGATCTGAGCCCATATCACCTCTATTGAGCCAATCCTCCAAATGAGGCCTTTCTACTTGACTTCAAAGTTTTTTTTTTACTCGGACCTTCTGAAATTCTTCTTGAATTCGATTTGACACCATTGACTGAATTGACACGTCTCATTTTACACTTCTGATGGCACATTGATGGAACTCTCTGATGACACTTCTTACTTTCAACCTGATTCAAACTCCTTCGGCCTCAGCTGATTCGTTTACTACTACTCACTGTCCAATCTTCGTTTTTCAATCGTTCCATCAATTTTCATTGACTCGTCCGCCCTTCACTCCATGCATCGTTTTATTGGCCATCGTTCAATCGTTGGTGTTTCAACCGTCCTTCACATCGTCTCATTCTGCATTGTTTCATACTTCGGTTCTCCGTTGTTTCCATTCTCCATACTCTTTTCGTCACCTTCCATACGTCAACTCTTTATACCGCGATCGACTTACACGACCCAATCTTTCAATCACCTCAATACTTTTCCTCATTTTTCCGCTATCCAACCATTGATACCTTTCACTCTGACATTAGTCTTTTCTTCATGGCTTCATACTCCACCTATCATCGCCTCCCAACCTTCTTGAATCGGAAACCACTGCCTTCAATCTACCAACTGCCGTCTCTTAATCCATGCGTCTGCTTTAATCTGCTTTGGGCTGATCGTCCCTATCCTACTGAATACTGTACACTGCATCCTGCAGTATCAATCCACCCTCTACATTTCATCCACTCATCAAGCCTGCTTGAGCCCATCTTATCTCTCCTTAACTACTCGAATGCGCTGCCTCCTGCGTCATAATTCCACCCTCTACATTTCATCTGCTCATCAAGCTGTCCTCATCAACGGATTCCACTTCACTACATTTAAGTTCATATTATCAGCTGTGCCATACTTCACCTACTTCGACCTCCTATTTTTCCTGAACAAACCATTCCGTCTTTTCATCAAGCTGCCCTTATCAACGAATTGACTTGCTCCTTGTCCCACTGCATGAACCCATCTTCTTTCTCCTAACTACCCGATCTCAATGCATCATCATTCCACCCTCTACGTTTCATCTGCCCGTCAAGCTGCCCTCAACGGATTGATTTGCTCCTTATCCCACTGCTTAAATCCACCTTCCCGCGCATTGACTATTTTATCCCATGGCATCCTGCGTCGTCATTCAACGTCACCACATTAAGTCATCTTCTCAATCCTGTCATACTTCCACCTCCCATCTTTTCTGAATCCACCACTGCATTTACTGATCAAGTTACCTTTATCAACGGATTGATTTGTTCCTTATCCCACTGCATGAACCCATCTTCCCGCTCCCAAACTACTCGATATCACTTCCTCCTGCATCATCATTCAACGTCACCACATTATCAGCTCATTTTTTCAACTGTGCCATACTTGCACCTACCTTCCCATCCTTTCTGAATCAACCACTGCCTTCAATCTACTTATCAATCTGCTTGAAGCTGTCTTCTCTCCTCCACTCTATTCCACTGCCTCCTGAATCGGCATTCAACTTCACCACATTATCAGCTCATCTTTTCAACTGTGCTATACTTTGCACCTTCTTCCCGATTTCTCTTGACCACTGCCTTTATCTACTCATCAAGCTGCCCTCATCATCTAAAAAAGTTTCCCATGATGCCACTGCTTTGGATCCACGTTCCCTCTCCTCTACACTTCATTCTTTCTGCATCGTCATTCCACTCCTCTGCACCATATGCCATGCTGTTAAATTCGGAACCTGTAATCGCTGGCAACAATTCATCTGCACTCCTCTTGACTCCAGCGTGGCACAATCACATCCGTTTCTTCATCTGCCTGCCCCCGTACACATCTCTACCCATCTGCACCGCTTGCACTCGTGATCCTCTCCACTCGAGCACGGCACAGTGACATCCCGTTTTACTCCGTTTCTTCATCTGCCTGCCCCCGTACACATCTCCATCCATCTGCACGTCTGCCCTTGTGATCCTCTCCACTCGAGCACGGGCACAATCACACCCCTCTTCAGTTGGTTACTTTATCTGCCTGCCCCCATACACCTCCATCCATCTGCACGGCAAGCACGGCACAGTCACATCCCTCCTTACTTCGTCACCCCATCTGCCTGCTCGGATACACATCTCCACCCATCTGCACCGCTGTGCTTCACGAGTTCGTTGGGTAGCAGCTGGGAGTTCAGGTGGCAGTTCTCTGGTTGGTTAACAGTTCACTACTGGTAGTTTTTTTTGGTGATCTGCTGGCGTGTGTCTGTGGTGTGGTGTGGTGTGTTGTGGTGCTGCTGCTGTGTGGAGCAAGAGATTTTGAGGAACACAGTTAAAAGAAACTTTTGAATTGGCGGTTGGTATCCCAGGTAGCAGCAGTGGCATTCCTTCCCGTTTCGCTGGTGTATTTCCTTCCGCCCGTGTGGTGTGGTGGTGGTGTCGCTGTGGAACAGCAGCGAGTTCAGAGGCAAGGAGATCCCTTGGCACAGTTGGGCGAATTTTT